GAAAATATTTTGAATTTTTCTAAAACATATCATATAAAATTATCGGAGCTTATTGTTTTGATCTAAAATATCTATGAAAATCCTGAATACATCATCGAAATGATTAGTTTGACATTTCGTACTTTGAATTACTACTTTATATGCATCTAGAATGTTTTTATTCAGTAGCTGAGATAAGATTGCTCTCTCTACACTGTCAATAATGGTTTGATTGAAAGAATATTGAGAATTTTGTATTAAAATTAAAGCATAAATATCAATTAATTTTTGTTCTAAACTATTTTTAAGTTCATTCTTTTCAATTTTCAATGAAAGCAGCTGTTGAATCGATAAATGAGAAAGTACTCGACTTCTTTGATATTCTTGCTGCATAGTATCTAAAAATTCTTCAAACTTCGTCAAATCAATACCTGTCAAAGAGTCCATATCAGAGAATAGTTTTATCTTATTTTTTAATTCTTCTGATATTGTTTGATTGTTTGAGATTACCTTAAGAATTTCTATTGGTTTGTCATTTTCATCTTGAGCAAGAATGAGCGATATGATGTCATCAGTTACCTTTCTGCCGGCTTCGGTCATCTCAACAATAAGCCGACAACATAAAGATTTGATGTGTTTTGAATTAGTACTAGCTAGTAAAACAGCAATACTTTTCAATAATTTATCTGTGATATTTTCCTTATTTGAACATTTCTGTAAAATTTCTAAAGCTTTGAGACTCAACGCTGTATCATCGTCAATAATACGACTAATTTGATTGAAGTTTTGTGCTAATAGCTTAGGTTTATCAAACTGATCTAATCTGTCGAGTAATTGATCACAATTATCAAAATTTAAATAGGCAAGCTCATACGCACATTTCTGATTGTTTTCTAATGTGGTAGCATTCAATAAAATACGGATGTCTTGCTTGATAGTTTCATTGCAAATGTCGCTCGTGGTCAAACTTAGAAGAATATCTATAGCTTCTTTTTCTGGTACAACTTTGCGACGGCATACAAGTATTTTTAATCCATTTATAGCTTTACGAATAACATCTGGATTGTCAATTTTAAGAGCATGAACAAATGCTGTTTGAATACGAGCAATTATGTATTTATCAGATTTTCGACACAGTATTCGGTCAAGAAGACTTCTCGTATCAGCTGCAAAGTAATCTTTCTTCTCAATAACTGAACAGAGAACAGACATATATTGTTCCATAAGAAATGAGTTTTTTATGCTGAAAAACTTATCAAGCATTTTATTAATGATCTTCGCAGATAGCTTTTTACCTTTTTGTCCTTCAAGAAGAAAAATAGTTAATATTTGATCACGAATACATGGATTGTCCAAGGCTCTAGTCAATTTGGGTGAAAGCTGACTCGGTATGTCTTGATTATTTTTCACTAAATTTTCAAATATTCGAACGAAATCATGCTGCTCTCCATGAGGATTAAATCTTCTCGTTAGTTTCCGAACTAAATCAATAGGTATTATTTGTCCATTATTCGAAACATTCAACAATATTTTCAAAACATCGTTATCGATTATCCATGGAATGTTGACGACTTGTGCTAATGCTCGAAAACCATTAATTGTTAATCAATGTCCAGTCTTTGTTTTCTCAAGTAAATAAACAATAGCACACTTAGCTTCTAAGTAATATGAAATGATAGCGCGACTAGCCTTTTCTAATTCGAATATATTGAAAATTGCTTCAGATATATCTTGATTATCATTAGCCATATCCAGCAGATGATAGGAACTCTCTCTTAATTTATTATCGTGTGATAAATAAAAATTATCGGCAATGATGCGGAGAATGTTTTCACTAACGATCTGTTTATTATGAATTATATTTTCAATCACTTGAAAAACTTGATTAAATAATTCAGGTGTCGTAACGACATTTTCTAGTGCTGATACAGTATCATCTGGAATGAGAAATTTATTTGCTGAGTATTTACGTAATATTTCAATGGCTTCAACTTGATACTCATTTTCGAGCAATAGAATATGATCGAAAATTCGGAAAACATCATCTTCAAATGGATTATTTGCAGCTTCGTTATATAGTAAAAATAGAATTTCTTTATTGACTTTATCTGCAAAATTTTCTTCGCCTAATTGTAAATCTTCACATACATATATTCTTGGTAAATAACTAACATGACTTGCTGCGATAAAGCCGTACGACGATGATAATGTCGCTAAACCTCGAACATAAGCTAAGGTCAAATAAACAGAAACATCATATATACGACTTTCTATATGTTCTTTTAGTTCAAATAGAATTGGATCCTTTATTTCATGAGTTTCTGCAGCTAAATATAATGATTTCGCTGATAGAATACAAGTTTGTTTATCTTTACTCTCGAGTGATTTAACAAGATAGTCAATACTTTGATCATTTATTCTAGTCTTTTTCTGCAAAGATGTAACAAACATTTGAGCGACTATGGACGAAATCCATTGACAATCAAGATTATATTCAGAAGCCTTTTCAAAAATAATATCAACTTCGTCTCTAATTATAATACTGTCTTCTAACAATTTACTTGCTAGGCGATCTACCTTGAATATTGCTTGTTGTTCAGCAACAATCCCCAGGACTAGAATAACGAAATTATCAAATTTATCATCACCTTTATTCATATTTTCAATGAGAATTTCCATTATAAATTCCGGTAACATTTTCTCTTTCTCGACAGTTAAGACAATAGATTTTAATGCTTCAAGTTTTAAATCTTCGCTCTCTTGCGAACAATGCAATAGAGTAGCATAATTTCTAAGTTGAATTTTGTTCAAACCTTTACGGTAACTAGATTGAAGATAATTGTTTATTATCGAACAGACAATTAACTTATCATGGTGACTTAAATCCTGTTTGGCAAATACACTACTAATTATCGTTATTGAGTTTTCATCAAATAATTCTTTACATCTATTCACATCTTTACTCTGTTCGTAAATATAACTGATGGGATGAATTATATTTTCAGCTTGTTCTAACTGTTTCAAACATTCACTGAATACTTTCGCATAATCAACATTCTTATTATCTTCAATCAAAACTAATATTTGAATGATCCAATTTTTAAATTCCTTCTCATCGTCGTCTATATATTTTTGAATATGATTCAATCGTTCATCTGTTATAATCCCCTTATTTCGTGTCATACAATTATAAATGGCTGATATAGCATTAATTCTTATGGCTTTTAATTTAGATGTTAATCTTTCGGATATATCGTCTTCATTTACAGCAAAACCACCTTTAAGTAATTGTAGAATATGTAAAGGAAAAAGAGCAGCTTTAAGAAAAAGTGAATAGTTCATTATAGCACTTGCTCTTCCAGTGGGCCCACCGAGAATTTTCCATTCGAGTCCGTCGAGACTATCTATACATTGAATAAGTAAATGTATCGTTTTATCGTTTAAGATCTGCTTTTTAGATATTTCAAGAAATATCTCAGAAATCATTAGATCCAAATGTAACCCTTCTATGTACTTCATTCCGGGCGTTAAAAACCATTTGTTGTCAGTTCCTAGAAATCTTGATGGTAAATATTCATCTTTATCTGTCTTTTTAAGTATTTGCCCACTTTTTACTCTCTGATAAAGATTTGAAATTTCTACACTCGTAGTTCTCCACATAGATTGATCACTTCCACCTTTATCTTGTACAGTTGGAAGAATTTCTGTATTCGTACTTGTTTTAACATCAACTTTCCTATTCTTAAAAAAATTAATGGAACTTAATGCATCCGTGGATTCTTCGGATTGCTTGCTTTTTGATTTTATTTTCATTGTTTGCTGGTTTTTTGTAACAGCTGCCTGCTTTAATTTGCGCGAGTAATTCATGGGCATTTTTATTCGTCTTTGTGTGCTGTGCCGGTCTTTGTTATCGACAAGACAATACTGATTTTGAACTTGTTCATTAACAAAACTGATTGATTCGGTACTAATTTTGTCCTCGACATTTTCTATCGCACTGTTGATTCGGTTTACTAAATTGTCGTCTAGTGTTTTCTTAGAATTTGTACTAAATGAATTTTTGATTTGATAGCCTAACGCCCATAAAATTTCAGATCTTATCTGTTGCCCTTGATTCTTTTCTAAGATTTCTAACAGTTTCTCGATTTCAGACTCAAAATCGTCTTTCTTCACAGCATGTTTCATTGTCTGTGCTAATATCAATTTAATGCCATTATCAACATTCTTATCTAGTAAATCCTGATAAATTTGATCCCAAACGTATTCGGGTACATGAAACTGCCGAGCTATATATCTTAACTTGCTCGATACACGTAAATGAAACCGTTTATCTAATCGATAACCTTCATTGAGTTTATCTATGACTTGTTGCTCATCCAGTTTCTTACATCGCTTGTATAAGCTTTCTTCGATTTCGTCTTTTCGATCAGATTTTTTCAAACAGATCCATATAATAAAAGAAATTCCCCAGAATAAAAAATAAGCGCACCAATCAAACATATTACTTATCCTATTATTGTTATATAATTTTGGTTGATATTTACAATAATCGAAAAATATCTACTTGGAAATATTGTTTGACTTGTGTAAGGTGATGTCGTATTGATCCGTGTTTGTAATCATATCTATGAAATATATTAATTTTCCATTTCATCCAAACATAAGAAATGATAGGAAGTGTAGATACGAAAGGTGAATGGTCGATATCATAAGAACAAAAAATCTGCATCATGTATCTTCAAATATATGTTTGTGAGCTATTTCTATGCTAAAAGATTTGGCTTGGCTGCAGAGTGTATGGTAGGCAAATTTAGTCGAGTCTTCTATTTAGCTAATTACAGCTTGAAGCACTTGAAAACTCTGAAGTTTATTGTTCTTATCCTTCAAAACATACTAGCTAGTAGCCCGGAAAAATAGTTGCAAAGCACATGACTTGGACTTTTCGAGCATCGTCGCCATAAAGCAATCGACACAAGAAAAAAACATTAAACTAAGCCCATAACAATCCATTAGAATAAAGGGCGTTCAGTAAGTAAGCTCTGATCTCTTCATGCAACATTCTTGTCGTATGTGTTCCTAAGGTGGAATAGACTGATATTTACATCGTATATACTATATGTCTAGATCTACTTTATCCTCGAATTTCAGCTTTCTATTTTATTTCATTACGTAGATATATGTTTTATCTAAATAATAAGAATTTTCGCATTACTATTGAAACAATTATGGACGAGAAAAATTGTATCGATTTTATCACGCGTTCATTACGAGTAGCTTTTGNATTTGTTGTTTCTTCAATAATCTTTTCCATTTTACTAGAAAGAATGTTGACTAGTTGCTCCAAGAAATCACTGTGTAGATGTTCTTGTGATCGATGTGTGAAGCTTGGTAAAGATGGAAATTCTTTAAGATCATTTAATGCTGGTGGTAACGCCGCCTTGTAAGACGTGGTGTATTGATTGACCATACTTTGCATTCTTTTTTCTTGTTCTATATATTTCGAACAAACATTAGATGTAGCTAAGTGATTACCTTTACAATTGTAACATGTCAACAAATCCGAAACAGCAGTACATTGATCCATTTGGTGGTTATCACCGCATCGAGCACATATCTGTTGCTTAGTTTTGCAGTACTTTGCTACATGATTGTATTGAAGGCATAAATAACATTGTACCGGCTTGGTGTTTTGAGTTGCTGGTTCAGCTAAGAAATGCATTGAATCCACTTGTAGACCAGTATGTATGAATGCGTTTCGATTTTGTGGATCATTAAATGTAATTTTGATGGTCTTGGTTGGCATGTTGTTGACTTTATTCGTAAGTCGAACAACATCAATAGCATCAAGGCCAACGTCCTTCAATGCTTCAATTATTCGACTTTCAGGAATTTCGATGTCGACGTTTTTTACAAACGCGACTCTTTCTGTATCTTTGATACGTTGAATGAATCGGGGCACATAGATTTTTGCTGTACCCTGTCCATTTGTTGCAAGGATTGGTGTCAACTCATTTAACAGACGATTAAATGAATTCACATCGATTGCATATATTGTGAAATTTCCTGCTCGACTTAGCTGAATATCAGAAATTCGTAAGTCCTTTAAATGCTGTTTAATGACGTCATTTAATTGCAGCTTGTTTAGCTTCACGCCCTCTAGAATTAGAGGTGCAATACTAAAATTTGATTGCTTATTCAAGCCTGCCTTTGTTCCTGTCGAAGCCTTTGTTCTTGGACTATGACTAATCGCCATTGTTTCTCCAACATCAGCTACTGCTGTTTGACCTTGTTGTGCATTAATAGAATTAAACAAATGTTGCCTTTGTTTGTTTGCACCTGTTCCTCCTTTTTTTGGAGGCATAATTAAGATATCACCTGACGCAGAAACACCTGGAGATACTAACCTTAATTAATAATTTCAAAATAATTTTGAAAATTGGATGTAAAATAAATTAATAATAAAAAATAGAATCGACGATTTTAACAAAGAAAATGTACGTAACCGACAAGATAGAATGCGACCTATCTCGACCGTGAAAAATAACGAATGGGGTAGCTTCAACTTGATACTCATTTTCGAGCAATAGAATATGATTGAAAATTCGGAAAACATCATCTTCAAATGGATTGTTTACAGCTTCGTTGTATAACAAATATAGAATTTTTTTATTAACTTTATCAGCAAAATTTTCTTCGCCTAATTGTAAATCTTCAAATACAAAGATTCTCGGTACATAACTAACATGACTTGTGGCGATAAAACCGTAAGATGATGATAATGTTGCTAAACCTCGAACATAAGCTACAGTCAAATAAACAGAAACATCATGTCTTCGACTTTCTATATGTTCTTGTAGTTCAAATAGAACAGGATCCTTTATTTCATGTGTTTCTGAAGCTAAATATAATGCTTTTGCTGCTAGAATACAAGTTTGTTTATCTTTACTATCCAGGGCTTTAACAAGACAGTCAATACTTTGATCATTTATTCTACTCTTTTTCTGCAGAGATGTCCAAGACTAAAATAACGAAATTATCAAATTTATCATCATCTTCATTCATATTTTCAATTAGAATTTTCATCATAAATTCTGGTAACATTGTATCTTTTTCGACAGTTAAGACAATGGATTTTAATGCTTCAAGCTTTAAATCTTCACTACGCTGCGAACAGTTCAACAAGTTTTCATAATTTCTAAGTTGAATTTCATTCAAACATTTACTATAACTAAGTTGAAGATAATTGTTTATTGTTGAACAAGTCAGTAATTTTTGATTATTCTGCACATGAGTTTGGGCAAATACACTACTTATTTTTGTTATTGAGTTTTCATCAAATAATTCTTGACATCTTTTCGCATCTTTACTCTGTTCGTGAATATATTTTATTGCATGAATAATATTTTCGCCTTCTAATTTTTTCACACAATCATGGAATAATTCAGTATAGTTGACCGTCTTAATGTTCTCAACGGATGTTAATATTTCAATGATGAAATTGTTAAATGTCTTATCATCTTCTTTAGTATATCTTTGAATATGATTTAACCGTGCATCGGTTAAAATTCCCTTATTTTGTATCATACAATTATATATAACTGATATGGCATTAATTCTTATCGCTTTTAATTGTGATGTTAATCTTTCAGATATATCCACTTCACTTACATCAATACCACCTTTATATAATTGTAGAATATGTAGTGGAAAAAGAGTGGCTTTAAGAAATAGTGTATAGGTCATTATCGCAGTTGCTCTTCCAGTCGGTCCACCGAGAATTTTCCTTTCAAGTCCGTCCAGACTATCTACACATTGCACAAGCAAATCTATGGTAACATTGTTTAAGATCTGCTTTTTAGATATTTCAAGGAATATCTCAGAAATCATTAGATCCAAATGTAAGCCTTCTGTGTATTTCATTCCGGGCGTTAGAAACCATTTTTTTTCAGTTCCTAAAAATCTTGCTGGTAAATATTAATCTTTATCTGTCTTTTTAAGTATTTGTCCACTTTTTACTCTCTGATAAAGATTCGAAATTTCTGTTGTCGTCGTTCTTCACATAGATTGATCACTTCCACCTTTATCTTGAACAGTTGGAAGCATCTCTGTATTCGTACTTATTTTAACATCAACTTTCCTATTCTTAAAAAAACTAATGGAACTTAATACATCCGTAGATTCTTCGGATTGATGATCTTTTGATTTCATTTTCATTGTTTGCTGGTTTTTTGTAACAGCCGCCTTTTCTTAATTTACGCGAGTAATTCGTGGGCATTTTTATTCGTTTTTGTGTGTTGTGCTGGTCTTTGTTATCGACAAGAAAATGCTGATTTTGAACTTGTTCACTAACGAAGCTGATTGATTCGGTGCTAATTTTGTCCTCTACATTGTCTATTGCACTGTTGATACGGTTTACTAAATTTTCGTCTAGTACTATCTTAGAATTTTTACTGAATGAATTTTTGATTTGATAGCCTAAAGCCCATAGAATTTCAGATCTTATCTTTGGTCCTTGATTCTTTTCTAAGATTTCTAAAAGTTTCTCAATTTCAAAATCAAAATCGTCTTTCTTCACAACATGTTTCATCGTCTGTGTTAATATCAATTTAACCTCATCACCAACATTCTGATCTAATAAATCCTGATAAATTTGATCCCAAATGTATTCCGGTACATGAAACTGCCGAGCTATGTATCTTAACTTGTTCGGTACACGTAAATGAAATCGTTTATCTAATTGATAGCCTTCATTGAGTTTATCTATGATTTGTTGCTCATCCAGTTTCTTACATTGCTTGTACAGACTTTCCTCGATTTCATCTTTTCGATCGAATTTTTTTCAAACAGATCCATATAAACAAAGAAATTGCCCAGACTAATAAATAAACGCACCAATCAACCATATTACTTATCCTGTTATTGTTATGTAACTTTGGTTGACTTTTACAATAATCGAAAAAAAGGTTTACTTGGAAAGATGGTTTAATTCGTGTAATATGATATTGTATTGAACCGTACTTATAATCATATCTATGTAGGAAATATTTTAGTTTTCCATTTCATCTAAGTATAAGAAGCGAGAGGAAATGTAAATACGAAAGATGAATGGTCGATGTCATAAGACAAAGAATCCGCATAATCTAACTTCCTATATATGTTTGCGAGTGGTTTCTCTATGCTAAACTATTTAGCTTAGCGGTGGAGTGCGAGTTAGACTAATCGAGTCGAGTCTTCTATTTAGCCAATTCCAGCTTGAAGCTCTTAAGAACTCAGAACTTTATTGTTCTTATCATTCAAAACCTACCAATAACGCAAAATGCACTAATTCCACTTTTCGAACATCGTTCCTGACAAAACCATTGACACAAGAAAAAACATCAAAGTAAGTTCATAACAATTCATTAGCATAAAGGGTGTTCACTAGTGTTCTGATTCCTCATACAAATTAGTTTTATCGAAAGAACACGAGTTTTCTAATTATAATGGGAACCATTATGGATGAGAAAAATTGTGTCGACTTCACCACGCCTTCACTATGAGTACATTTTACTTTACAACAAAAAATTACATACTTTTTCTATGCATAAAGATGTTGACCATGAACAGTGTGTCAGCGGTGCATGTGACAAAATCAAACACCACTAGTAATGAAGATGTGGTGAATTCGATATCATTTTTCTCATCCATGATGATTGCAATAATAATTCAAAAATTCTTCTTTCCCGAAACTTATATCTTCTTAATGACAGTAAATAGAAAGCTGGAATTGCAGGATGGATTAGACTTAGACTAGATATGTGTAAACGAACGTTTGCTGTAGTTTCCCATCGTCGTAGAAAACGATCTGTAATCTCTATCTGGCTTTGATATCGAACAAGAAAAGGAATACATTTTTGCCAAGATAAAATAAAGTAAAAGGAAACAAAAATGATTCTTTATATTGTTAACTTTTTAATAATTTTAATCGGATCAGTCTATCGTTCGTTTAACAACTTTCAATACATACGAAGCAATACTTACACAATCGATGTCAAGAAATGTATTCTCAAGCTTTCAATGTTGTTAGAGTTTACTTCAGCATCCACAATTTATGATCTACAACAAAACATATCATTTTTATTTTTTAAATTTCATTGTGAATCGAAGCAAACAAGCTCAAACGAGACTGACTGAAAATCTGATCAAAACAGCTTTCTTTTTAAACCGAATAATAATGAAATGCAAATAGTGTTCATGTATCCTTTTCGTGTTTATCAAGTTTTATCAAAGTTTGCAATATATGCAGAATAAAAAAAATATGCCGAGTTTTTTTTTTTATTAGAATTATTACCAGTCAAGAAAAACTGACCAGAAAAGGAATCGAGTTAATTCCTATGGAGATTTCATATTTTCTATTCTATGATTCTATTTCTACCTAGAGAAGGCTATTGAAATTCATTCAAAATATTGCTAAGACATTTTGAATTCAAAAAACAAGATGCAGTGAAAAGTTTCTGTATTTGCATTTAATATTATTTCAATAAAACAGACACATATTTGCTCAAGACTCTTCTAGTGTGGTCTAAAAGTTCTAGGAGTATTTAGGGTGGGTGTGGGTGTGGTGCATAGTGGAGAGCTTTAGCATAAGCAGACGGACATGACAGAAAAAAGCTGTTGTTTTTATGACCAAACTATATTTCTGTACACTCTTTGATGAGCTCTTTCTGATAAAATGAATAGGAGATGTTAACAGCGCTTTCTGGTTTTCCAGAAAACCAATAGGATTTTGAGAGGTTTCCTGAGAATTACGTGCCAAAATCGCTCAGTTTCAGTTCTATCTGTTAAATAATCAGTCACAAAAAAAATAAAAATAGCAATAAACGTTAAAACTTTTCGATATGGGAATGGTGTGGGTGTGGGTGTGGGGTGTCTGTGTGGGTGTCGATGTGGGTGTGTGGGTGTCGGTGTCTTGGTGGTTTGGGTGGGCGTGGGTGGGTGTGGGTGGGTGTGAGTATGGATGTCCGTAGATGTGTGGTGGGAACGAGTGTGCCTGGGTGGATGTGTATTGATGTGTGAAATAGAAACATCCACACCCACCAACACTCCACACCCACACCTACACCCACACCCACCCACACCCACACGCACCCACACCCATACCCACACCCACACCCACACCCACACCCACACCCACACCCACACCCACACACCCACACCCCACCCTTAAGAAAGTGACACACAATGCTTGTATAATATGATATGAAGAAAAGGCACAATATATAAGGATATGTGAAAGATATCACGTTTGAGAGATATTATGTGAGATCAATGTGCTGATCGACACAGAAATAGACAAGAGTAAACTATTAATCCATCCTGTCAAATTTTATTTTCTGATTGATAGTCAGTAATCAGGATGCAAATATTTCGAACGATGATTGGGATTACCAATATCTCGACATTGAATGCCATGTTTGCATGGAATTTTCTGTCGATGATTAGATTCTCCAGATCGATGATGTTGTTCGTCAGAATGTGAGTACTGTGAGCGATGATGCGTATCATAAATATAAGGGCAACCTAATCCATGTCGACAAGGAGTTAGTTGCTTGTAATCTAACGTTCTATCCTGATAAAGAGGGGAGATTGGTGGTGGTGATCCCTTGGAATATGTATCTTTAGGTGATAGTTCAACATATTCCCCATGCGAATATTTGATCCTGTGCTCATACGACTTGTCATGACATTGTTGTTGATAGCGACAAGGAATGAGTAAGTCAGGCATGTCGGTGTGCCGATACTTTGCCCGGTGTAGAGGATCATCGAGTATTCTACACGATTTCCCATTTGAACAGGAACCTACAACATAAGATTCATGTGTCAGATGGGGCTCGCGGATTTTCTGTCGACACAACTCAGTGTATGGACAAGGATGTGAATATGTTTTCATATGATCGGTATCTTCTTGGCAAAGACAATTGATTGAATCACGACACGGAACAAGTTTCGTCGGCTGAACCAGACTATATTGTGGATGTTCGAATTGATTTGCATGTTTGACATCTGCCCGCACTAATTGGCAGTCACTATCATACGGACACTTGGATCGATGGATAAACCAGAGCATGTGATCTTCATCGTCCGACAATTTGCAGGTTGTTCCGCTGCCAATTGATGGACACAATGATGGATGAGAGTATTCACGACAATGTTGGGCATCTTCTATGTCGTTGCATTTTCCTCCGTGATAGCATGGTATTAGATAAGAAATTCGTATATCACTCAACGTAACCTGTTGCGGATTTGGCATATTCAGAATTCTCCGTGGTCCAATCATCATATCTTTCATTTTGTGTTTCGTTGATTCCAATTCTGGCTCATCGAGTAATTGCTTAAAGGGACGATAATTTCCTTGTGGATTGAATTGTAAACCAGTGTTGTGATCGTCAACAATAGCAAAATAGATGCTCTTAAAAAATCCCGCATATTGTTCGGCAACGGACTTGAAGATTGTTGCAATATGTTTCGGAGGATTTTTGAAAGCACCACATCCCAAAGCAGACAAAATGAGACAATCATGTTTGTGATGATAAGCAATGGCAAAGATATTCTCAATTTTCTTGCGCATTCCGATGGAGAATTTCCGAGTTAGACGATTATTTTCCACCTTTGGATCTCTATAGGCAGTCATCGCAATAGCACATACATTGGATAATGGTTCATCCATAAAGGCATATCCAGTGTCTTCAGCCCGCCGAAAAACGGTGAGTCCCGATGTATAGATTGCTCCAAATTCTTCCATTGGATACATCCGTTGCCTCTCCGACAAAATTTCCAATTCACAATTTGAATTACAACAAAAACGGCTAGTTGATTTCCCGCCATCCAGATCAGTATCGAGACTTCGAAAGTAATTCGAACAACGAAAAAGAGTCTCCTCTTGAGCGCCAGCACCTTGACGATAGCTTCCACCTGGTGAATCGGCATTGGCCATGTTAAGAAGCACAGGACGACATTTCTGAGCAATTAATCGCTGATAAACATAGAGACAATCCTCATCGACTACCTTAATCAACGTAGAGGTATACGGAACTTTGGTCGCTTCGAATAATGACATTGTTGCACCGTGCTGTAACTTCGATCGATGGTCATAAACGATTGTTTTTAACAGATCTTCTTTTATTTTAATCTCCCGTTCACCTACACGATAACCCCCCCTCCACACTGTACCGATAGTATTCAACATTACTGTCACTCGTAAGAGATGCCGTTTTTGATTGTCATCTATACCACGACGATCGGGCTTACTTGTCATATCTCTTCGCTGTATCGTAGCGTAACGTCGATATTGTTCCTGAAAGGCCTGAGGATTCCATTTCCAACGAAAGATAGGATGTTTTGGATTGCTAATAAACGGCATAATATCCGGCTCATGCTTACACATCTCTGTTTCGTACCAATTTTCAGCATTAATTTCCCTCTCTTCAGAATTTTTAGAAGATGTGTTGATTTGGACATCTTCGACAAATAGGAATTGATCGCCAACACGTAGAGCACCTTGATTAACACACTTTTCATATACAATCTTGTCTGAAAGTTCAACAATCAGGCGATCGTCCTTGACTAAAACTTGATCAACAGTATTTTCAAAAATCTTGTGGTTTTTAATATGAGAGATAGATAAATCTTTCGGTATCGGCCGCACAAGAAGACGATAAGGAAGACTATTTTTCTTTTGAATTCTTCGCCCGTCCAGATTGATCGAATCGAATAAGGCCCATCTTCGAGCGCTCAAGCGTGTTAATACAACAGCATTTGTCGTTGCTTGATTATATTGAATGTAAATTGACTCTGTTGAGGTATTCTCTTGTGAAATTTGATCGGTAATCACATGTCGTAATTGATTTATATTCGTATGTCGAGGTAATTCCTCCAGAAAACAACAATCAGCTCGGAAATAGACTGTAGCATTTTGACCATTTATAGAAAACGTTTTCCTTGGTATTGCTTCTATGAGTTCATCTAATGAGTTTGAAACTATTTGAAATATATTTGGAAATTGAATGGAAAGTTGTTCGCATAGAACGGAATGACTGAATTTGTAAAGTTCTACACATCGCTGAGCTACCTCATTGGGAGATGGAAGATCTCTGTAATTCGTTGAGTCAATAACCACATACGAAATAAGTTCTAGATCTGATACAAATTTAATTATTATATTATCTTTTTCTCCTGAATCCAATATAATTGACTCAATGACTTTAATTAAATGATCTCTTTCTGTGCAGTTTTGTAGATAAACTATACCGATCCCTAAATGAGTGTCACATTTTATATCGGCAACTTCTTGCTTATGTTTGCGTTCTAAACATCGACGAATCATAACTTCTAATTTGTGATTATCGACAATTTGTAGCGGTAACTCAGGTATATACGCCACAATAGGATCATTTGCAGGCGGCTGAAAATCGTTATCAAACGTGGGTCTGGGGCTAGGTTCTGATGGTAATGGTAACTCTATCTTAAGATATTTTCTAAGGTTATCCATCAACAATTTATGGTTTTTTGGAGAGATGAGTTCTTTGACTTTGACATCATTTAAACCTACTACCCAACCATCATTTGCCAAACAATCGAGTGCAATCTCTAAAAGATTTCGTCGATTTGAAATGTTGCTTTGCTCGAGTAATGAGAGAGCTGGCTCACGGAAATATTCACGTAGCGCAAGGAATAGTGGACTATTCAATGAGTCAACACGTACTTTCATAACCGCAGATACAATATATTTTTTCCATTTTTTCAAAGTAGTTTTGCATCCCTCCATGGCAAATGTATTCCAAACTTGGTCAAATTTAGTTTCATCCATATTAATATCATCATTGAATATAAAAACAAGTTGCAAAACAATGGAATACACTGGGCACTCCCTCATGTATTTCTGTCCGTACTCAGCTGTACGTGCCAAAACTTGTTGATAGTGTCTACCATTGTCTTGAGATTGTTGTCCAGTGATGAATACATTGAACCAATGAAATGGAATTCGTTGCCATTGCTGCTGAAAGTAGCGTTTGAGGATTTCGAGTAGTGTAGAGTTTCCTTTCTTATCCATTTGATTCTCAAAATCAATGGGTGCAATATTGTCACGATGATGTACCAGTTCTTGCCGGCCATTGATCAGTAATTGTCTAGCTATAATGCGCGACTCATGTTCCGCTTCTTCAAGAGATAATAATTCACAAATTTGAGAGATAAATTGATTTTCGCTCTCATTTTGCGACACATGACTTATTTCTCGATCTTGATCTGTTTGCTGCGCTGTTTTGACGTCCATAGATTCAATCGATAAAGTTCGAGATACCAATGGGCTGTCGTCATCCATTACTTTTACCCGAACGATCTAATTTTCAAAATTAAAACCAAAACAATCATTTACCTTTTACATTTCGAAATGACGATAGTAATTTTGATTACAGTAAAACGATTAACTAAATTTCTTGACTGAACGAAAGGATAATGGTTATACTTACAGACTGGGGGTCGACAAGTTCAACTCTAGTTCAGAACTGATGAACTTTTTCAAATAGTTCAGCTCAACGAACTGAAATTTACGAAGAATTCTTTTAAAATGAACTGACGAGGGAGGGCTTAGAATTGATCAATCGCTTTTTAAATTTTAGTGATTCCAATTCGTAGAGCATGTTGAGTTATTAACTGATATAATTATCATTCATGCCAACAGCACGTTTAAGAGTAAATTTCTGATAATTAAAGTTTGCAGTAGTCTATCCATACCATATTGGTTCAAAGATCAACGGTCAACGGAAGTGAAGTGGTGGTTGGCCTTTGAGTTTTCACTTTAGCCCAAACACTTACCGTGCAATATCATTTTGCATGATGAATGTCTGTGTATCTGTAGTAAAGTGAAAACTCAAAGGTCAATCACCACCCCACTCCCGTTGACTTTTGACCTTTGATCCGATATGGTATGGATAGGCTAATGCAAACTTTGATTATCAGAAATTTACTCTTAAACGCGCTATTGGCACGAATGATTATTATATCAGTTCATAATTCAACAAGGTCTACGAAATGAAATCACTAAAATTTAAAAAGCGATTGATCAATTCTAAGCCTTCTCTCGTGAGTCGCTGATAGTCTTTTCATTGGTTGTATTAGATGCAGAAATAAATTCGGCATCGAATAGTGATAGTTTCAAGGAGAAATCATAGGGCAAAAATGACGTGCTTCCGCTAAAGTACTGAATTTTTTATTCCGTTTAGCTAGTAATCCTTGCTGACATTCGCTTCCGAGTCTGTGCTGGCCTTCTAGTGTGTTGTGCTGGGTGCAGAATTTAATTTTGCATCCAACACAATCAACTAGAAAGCCAGCACAGACTCAGGAGCGAATATCCACAAGGATCACTAGCTAAACGAAGTGAAAAACTCGGTATTTTGTCGGAGGCACCTCGTTTCTTCCGATGATTCCCCCTTGAAAGTATCACCATTCGATGGAGAATTTAATTCCGTATCCAGCATAACAAATCACAAGCCCAGCACAGATTCATGAGCGAATTCGCTGCTGAGTTTATTTACTTGTGTAGTTGTTCCTAAAAACGACCTGAATTTTCATACTTTTAATGTCAAAAAGATCTTAATTGTTACCTAAGAGCACTTTCGATGATATTACGTCTAACTAGACTATTAAAATGGAAGAAAACCAGTTTCCAGAGAAGTGGTAGAAACCTCACGGATTCATCCTATATTGCCCTCTCCATCTTCAATAGTATGATATGTCTCATCTAACCGATCAGAAGACAGCTTTTTTACAGGCAATGATTCGAGTAATTTTGTGGCTGTTATTGACTGTTAGTGTTCCTGAAAAAATGGCTCCGGTTCTAGGGTAAATAGTGGAGAATGAAGGTACATATCAGATCCATCAGTCCTATGTAGCCTATATATGAGCCCAAACTGACGGTATTCGAAACTTTTTCTAATCAATTTTTCATTTTTACTTAAAGATATTTATACAGTTTTGTTCAGAATTTAATTCTGCATCGAATAGTATACAAATTAACTATAAAACCAGGTAAAAATCCTTCCAAAAATAAGTAATTCTCGTCTCTCTCTGTACACCCAATAGACCTATTTGGTTGGGTACCAAAGCAAGGCAAACGTTTCACTGACCAGGCTGAAACTTATAGGAGTGACCACTAACTGTGAGCTCTACAATTGCTGAAAGTTTCACGGGAGATAACCATTGTTTTCTAATTCGGCCAAAATAGTCGCAAAGTGTTCCCCGTCCTTTCTTTGTATTGTGTAACCTTGTCTCGGAGGTATATATACATGAGATTTTTTTCTCTGTCACTTACAAAAAAAAAACCTTCCAAGAAAAATAGTATCATTGTTAATGGGAAAGAAAGTGACTATTTCTTATCAACGTTGACTTATGACTTTGTTTGGCATTCTTTCACAATCAAGATGAAAAAATTATCATCGAATTTCGTATATAAGCGGTGGATTAGGTATGCTGTACGCTCTTTTAGTCGCTCCGACGAGAGGAACCATGAGTAAGAGAAATAACAAGTATAAAAAAAACCAAAATCATTAATTAGTACTCGATGCATATGCTTTCACAACATTCCTCTCTCTTTTGAGGGTTTTCTAGAGAACATATATGGGACAGCCCGCTGCTCAATAGCTCGAAAGCGTTGCCTCTAGTTATTGATAATGAGCTCTATTGTTGTGAGCGGGTTCCTTTGCCCAGTTCTTTTTTGCCGGCGGTGTTCTTTGACTAGCATAGTCATGCACCGAACCCGAACTTCAGTTCGAAGTTCGGGTTCAGAAACTATCCAACGAGCTTACGAGGCCTCATAGGTCCTCAAAGTCTATCATATAGAGATACCCATAGGTTCTCAAGGCTTATCTTACAGGAAGACCCATAGGTCCTCAAGTCCTATCCTATAGGGGTACCCATAGATCCTCAAGGCCTATCTTATAGATATACTCATAGGTCATCAAGGCCTATCTTATAGGGATACACATAGGTCATTATTCCCTATCCTATACGGGTGCGTACAAGTTCTCAAGGCCTATTATATGGGAGTACCCATACATCTATGATCGGTCCGAACAACAATATGTTTCATCCTTACAATAGTGGAGAATCAACTTGCTTGATACAATAAGCCTCTTAGCCAATCAGATTTGAGTAGGATTTTTCTCCACTATTGTAAGAATGAAACATATTGTTGTTCGGACCGATCCTAGACCTATTGGTACCCCCATATAATAGACCTTGAGAGCATATGGGTATCTCTATATGATAGCCCTAGAGGACCTATGGGCACCTCTATATGATAGGTCTTGGGGAGCCATGGGAGCAGTTCAGTTCATTCGAAAGGAGCTGTTTGGGAAAGTTCAGTTCGTTCAAAAGAACTGTTCAAACAGTTCAGTTCATCCGAAAGGAACTGTTGAAAAAGTTTAGATCAATGAACGGAACTGTCTCAACAGTTCTTTAGTTCATTTAAACGGAGTTCGTGAACTTGAGCTGGTCGGCTCCTATTACAGACATCGTTAATCAAGTAATTGTTGTCGATGAAGTCTAATAAGTAATAAAAAAAAGAATTTACATCTGCTGACACTTTCCAACAACGTGTGCAAGAACTATAAATACACAACTGATAAGCAAGGAGTCGTTTGTTTGTCAATTGAATCACGCCGA